CAACCGTTAAACATGATCACAAGTGTTTCTAGTGCCAACTGACATCGTCGAACTAGATAGTTTTGCTAGCAATTAACTCCCTTGTCTCTAGAAATGTGCACCAAACTTTGGTGCTCAGAGTGCAAAACACCTCAACTGCATCATGCGAAAGTTTGGCTGCTTGAATGCAAGTCTGCGAATACGAGACATAAGAGTCACGTGGATGAACAGATTCATTATGCTCCGACGAAGTGCTACGACTAATTGTGCACGTACTAGCATGTGTGGCGGTGAGATGCTAAGAAACGCTGCCCTCAGTTTGATGTCGGAATAAAACGTTTGGCTCGGAACATGCTAACAAAGTCCAAATACTGAGTTGTGCAGAATTACAGTAAAATAAACCAATGCATAAAGCATAGAGGTAGATGAAAACGGGCTTCATATGTTAGGACAAAGGTAATGGACGCCTTAACGTATAAATCCTGATAAAGCACACTTTGCAGCCCCGAAAAACACTCCCTTTAGTGTACAAGGTCGCTGCATCATTGGAAATTATGTCGTCCGTCATCGGACCACCCGCGTATATCTGAATGAATAAACTTACTGATGCAAGCCACGCGTGTGTGCCTTCCTTTTACTGATTTATAGTTTTTCTACGTCCGGCAGACGAGATGATGCTGGTCTTCTTTCATGCAAATGGGTGTGGTAGCCAGTCTGTGCAAGCCCACCTGGGATAGACGGTCTAATCTTCTAACCACCAACTGGTGTTCGAGTGTACGGGTAGGGACACCTGAAAAAATTCCCAACACAATCGCACACAAACCTACAATTACATTGCATACCCAGCTTCTGCCTATTAAGGACAGAGTCGGAGATAAATCATCCAGGACATCATGCGTGCCACTTGAGATGCGATTTATTGCGTCAACCTAAGAAAGCTGCCTATTGGCCATAACAGATTGGGGTGAATAAGCCCCAGTCCCACTTTTGCGAGAACGAAGTATGTTGCCACTCTCCTAAAGGATATCTCAGATCCTTAATCTTAAAATGATTCGAGAAGCAGCGCAGCTTCAGTTGCTCGTACTTCAGGAGAAAAAATATATTTTACGAAATGCAAGCATGTCTAGTGGACGAATTTTCTTGCTGGATTAAATTTACTTTTACTGAACTGTTGTCAATCATAAAAAGCAGGCGCCTATAAATTCAATCGCAACGCGAATTTTCTCGATCATGAAAACCGCAGCCAAGTTGAGCTCACCGCAAAAGTAAACGGTCTACCGCAGTCAAATCGCAACTCCATTGTGCCCGAGAGCAAAGGCACCACAGTCGCCTCATACGTACGAAAAACGCAGAAAGTGCCTTTCCGTCTGATGAGCATTAGAATACGTAGGAGAATATGGAACGCTTGTAGATGGAACAAAATAGGATTGTCATAAATGTCGGATTCAGGTCTCCTATTTGTACCTGAAAAACTAAGAAAACACTCGGTGCTGATTGCAGGCCCTATGTTTGCGCACAGTAATTTTCCCTCAACCTATAAGGTTATTTGTGGAGTTTGGGTGTCGTGTCACTTGACACTATGGTCCAAAAACCTCTGGTTAGCGACATGTGTTTGGATATGACAGACTGATGCGCTTTAAGTAATATTGTAGATTTTTGACCGGCCAATCCAAAAACAGGAATAATAGAATTGCAGGAGCGTATATAATAATTTTTGAACAAATTTAAACTTAGGAGACAAGTTAATCTGTGCAGAGTTCTATTTATGCTAATACTTCAACCTTAAATACCCTCCAAGGCTCTTAATCCTCGAACATCAAACTATTCCATCCGGTGTCATTGCGATAAGATTTTTACCTGCCTTGGTACTGGGAGTCTAGTACTTAATATACAGTAAGAACATACGATTTTTGTGCTAGTGAAAATATTTTATGAGGAAAACTGAACTGAACTAAACTGAAAAAAACATCCTTATCCTCGCCAAGTTTGTACTGAAAATGTACTGAGATTTCAATATGGTCAGCATTTAAATATACATTTAATTTTGTAAAGTCTTTGACCTTGGTAGCTGCCAGTTTAGCTTTACTTTTAGACATTTGTAAAACTTATTCTGCTTCTAAGTGCTTTTTCCCCTAGTTAGCAGTGTCGACAGGAACCACTTTCTTGGCCACGCAGGCTGGACATCGTCATAAAACGTGTTTATTTCACAAAGTGTGCCATCAAAGATGCGGCAGAGACCCGCACACGCACATATTTTCACAAAATGACATGTCTTTGTTGCAAAATGGCGACGGACGAAATTTGGACGCGGCAGTATGCTTCATGGTTGCGCGTGCTTCGAAGCACACAGAACGCTGCGTCG